CTCCTCCTGCCTTCAATCTTTCCCAGCATCAGGATTTTTCAAATGAGTCAGTTCATCACATCAGGTGGCCAAAGTAGTGGAGTTTCAGCTTCAACATCAGTTCTTCCAATCAATATTCAGGATTGATTTCCTTTAGGATGAACTGGTTGGATCTCCCTGCAGTCCAAGGGACTTTCAAGAGTCTTCTCTAATATCATATTTCAAAAGCATTAATTCATTGGCGCTCAGCTTTCTTTACAGTCCAACTTTCACATCCATACATGACTACTGGAAACCATAACCTTGACTAGATGGATCTTTGTTGGCAAAGTAATGGCTCTGCTTTTTAATATGCTGTCTAGGATGGTCATAACTATTCTTCCAAGGAGCAAGTGTCTTTTAATTTCATGGCTGCAGTCACCATCTGCAGTGATTTTGGAGCTCCCCAAAATAAAGTCTCTCACTGTTTTCATTACTTCCCTATCTAGTTGCCATGAAGTGATGGGACCAGATGACATGATGTTAGTTTTGTGAATGTGGAGTTTTAAGCCAACTTTTTCACTCTCCTCTTTCACTTTCATCAAGAGGCACTTTAGTTCTTCTTCACTTTCTGCCATAAGGGTGGTGTCATCTGGCTATCTGAGGTTACTGATATTTGCCCTGGCAATCTTGATTCCAGCTTATGCTTCATCCAGCCCAGCATTTCGCATGATGTACTCTGCATGTAAGTTAAATAATCACAGTGACAATATACAGCCTTGAGTACTCCTTTCCCAATTTGAAACCAGTCTGTTGTTCCATGTCCAGTTTTAATTGTTGCTTCTTGACCTGCATACAGATTTCTCATGAGGCAGGTAAAGTGGTATGGTATTCCCATTTCTTGAAGAATTTTCCACAGTTTGTTGTGATCCACACAGTCACAGGCTTTGGCATAGTCAATAAAGCAGAAGTGGATATTTTTCTGGAACTCTCTTGCTTTTTTGATTATCCAATGGATATTGGCAATCTTTTTTTTTTTTTGAAGCATGTAAACAAATAACTTTATTATTTTTTTTTCCATTTATTTTTATTAGTTGGAGGCTAATTACTTTACATCATTACAGTAGTTTTTGTCATACACTGAAATGAATTAGCCATGGATTTACATGTATACACATGTTTCAATGCTGTTCTCTTGAAACATTCCACCCGATCCCTCTGGGTCTTCCCAGTGCACCAGGCCCGAGCACTTGTCTCATGCACCCAACCTGGGCTGGTGATCTGTTTCACCCTAGATGCAATCTTAATCTCTGTTCCTGTGCCTTTTCTAAATTCAGTTTGAACATCTGGAGGTTCATGATTCATACTATTGAAGCTTCACTTGGAGAATTTTGAGCATTATTTTGCTAGTGCATGAGATGAGTGCAATTGTGCCATAGTTTGTACATTATTTGGTATTGCATTTCTTTGGGATTGGAATGAAAACTGACCTTTTCCAGTCCTGTCATGGGCAAGAAGGTTTTGCACAGAAAGTTTTCCAGGTTTGCTGGTATATTGAGTGCAGCACTTTCAGGGCATCATCTTTTACGATTTGAAATAGCTCAACTGGAATTCCATAACCTCCACTAGCTTTGTTCATAGTGATGCTTCCTAAGGTCCACTTGACAGGATGTCTCACTCTAGGTGAGTGATCATGACCCAGTGGTTATCTGGGTCATGAAGATATTTTTTGTATTTTTATTCTGTGTATTATTGCCACCTCTTCTTAATATCTTCTGCTTCTATTAGGTCCATACCATTTCTGTTCTTTATTTATATCCAAGATGGCAGAGTAGAAAGACATGTGCTCATCATCTGCTGAGAGAACTCTAAAATTACAACTTGCTGCTGAACAACCATTAACTGCAGAATGTTGATCCCACTAATAAAAGATACCCCATGTCCAAGGGCAAAGGAGAAAACACAACAGGATGGTAGAAGGGACTAAATTGATTTATAATCAAACCCCATACCCACCAGAGGTGCTCAGAGAACTCAAACAAAACCTTGTGCACACCAGAAGAACCCACAGAGATTGAGTGTGTGAATGTCTCCTGCTGTAGCCTGCCACAGGGGCAGGGGCTCTGTGTGCAGCAGATTTGGGTAAGGCATAAGACCTCTTGGAAGAGTTCATCATCAAACCAATCATAGAGCCATCAGAACTTACACAGGACTGGGAGAACAGACTCTTGGCACAAACAAAACCTTCTGTGCACTAGGACCCAGGAGAAAGGAGATATGACACCACAAGAGACTGACCCAGACTTGCCCATGAAGGTCTAGGCGTCTCTTGCAGAGGAGTGTGTCAGCAGTGGCACGCTGCAGGGTTGGAGGCACTGAGTGCAGCAGTGCCTGCACTGGACCTTTTGAAGGAGGGCACCATTATCTTCATTACTTCCACTAAAGTTTGGCATCAAGTCAAACAACAGGGAGGGAACACATCCCCACCCACCAACAGAAAGTTGGATTAAAGATTTACTGAGCATGGCCCTGGCTTGGAGAATTTTGAGCATTACTTTGCTAGTGTGTGAGATGAGTACAATTGTGTGGTAGTTTGAACATTCTTTGGAATTGCCTTTCTTTGGGATTGGATTGAAAACTGATCTTTACAGTCCTGTGCATGAACCATGAACTTCCAGATGTTCAAGCTGGATTTAGAAAAGGCAGAAGAACCAGAGATCAAGATTGCAAACATCTGTTGGATAATCAAAAAATCAAGAGAGTTCCAGGAAAACATCTACTTCTGCTTTATTGACTATGCCAAAACCTTTGACTGTGTGGATCAGAACAAACTATGGAAATTTCTTCAAGAGATAGGAATACCAGACCACCTGACCTGCCTCTTAAGAAATCTGTATGCAGGTCAAGAAGCAACATTTAGAACTGGACATGGAAAAATAGACTGGTTCCAAATCAGGAGAGGAGTATGTCAAGGCTGTATATTGTCACCCTGCTTATTTAAACTTATTTGCAGAGTACATCATGAGAAATGCTGGGCTGGATGAAGCACAAGCTGGAATTAAGATTGCCAGGACAAATATCAATAACCAGATATGCAGATGACACCACACTTATGGCAGAAAGTGAAGAACTAAAGAGGCTCTTGAAGAAAGTGAAAGAGGAGAGTGAAAACATTGGCTTAAAACTTAACATTCAGAAAACTAAGATCATAGCATTCAGTCCCATCACTTCATGGCAAATAGATGGGAAAACAATGGAAACAGTGGTTGACTTCATTTTGGGAGCTCCAAAAAATCACTGCAGATGGTGACTGCAGCCATGAAATTAAAAGACGCGTGCTCCTTGGAAGAAAAGTTATGACCAACCTAGATAGCATATTAAAAAGCAGAGCCATTACTTTGCCAACAAGGTCCATCTTGTCAAGGCTATGGTTTTTCCAGTAGTCATGTATAGATATGAGAGTTGGACTGTAAAGAAAGCTGAGCACCGAAGAATTAATGCTTTTGAACTGTGGTGTTGGAGAAGACTCTTGAAAGTCCCTTGGACTGCAAAGAGATCCAACCAGTCCATTCTGAGAGAGGTCAGTCCTGGATGTTCATTGGAAGGATTGATGATGAAGCTGAAACTCCAATACTTTGGCCACCTGATGCGAAGAACTGACTCATTTGAAAAGACCCTGATGCTGGGAAAGACTGAAGGTGGGAGAATGGGATGACAGAGGTTGAAGTTGTTGGATGGCATCATCGACTCAGTGGACATGAGTTTGAGTAGACTCCAGGAGTTGGTGGTAGACAGGGAAGCCTGATGTGCTGCAGTCCATGGGGTCACAAACAGTTGGACATGACTGAGCAACTGAATTGAACTGAAGTGAGTGAACAAATGTGCTAAATGTTATGAATGTATTAATCAGATTAATTCTAACACAGTCAAAAAAGGTGTATTAAAGCATCCTTTTTTCAGAGACAAGAAAACAGACACACAGAGAAATTAAGTAACTATCACATAAGAATTATATTAGTATAACTATAACCTGCTATTACTACTTGTAGCTAGCACCAGGATTGAACCAGGCAGTTGGCTCCAGAGTCTACACTTTAAAACCAAGACAGACAACATCCTGGCTTGAGATTTGCCTGCCAGTAGGATTCACCCGCTTTGGCCTTGGTCACATAACTTGTTGATGGGCAAGCCAAGTCTATATCTGTGCTCCCTCCAACCCACATCCCTGCCCAAACAGGTCCTGTCAATCATTGACTGCAAAAACAAAATTGCCTCAGCAAACGCTTGTCCAACTGAACAGAGTGGTCGTGTAGGCTGATGAACTAATTCTTCATAGAAACTTGGGTCAGGAAGCTGTCTTCAGAAGCAAGACAGGTCAAAGGCACCCTGGTGGGGAAACAACCACTGGGAAACCTCCAGGGACACTTATATCGAGAAACTTACTACTTAAGATTCATGCACGAGACATAACAAAGCCTCTTATATGCCACCAAATGTCTACTGTAAAACTATAGAGCTAACTTCATTGAAGAAGATGCTTACATTTACCAATCTTATATTTTAATTAACTTTTCATTACTATTTTAGGTAAATCTCAAAGTATGGGCACATGCCAGAGCTCTGTGAGCCCACAGACAGGAAATTAAATGAAGGAACACACAGCCTGTCTCTTGCAGAGATTCCTTATAAGAAGGTCCTATCTAGACAACCTAGCTTAACACTATGTAACATAGTCAGTATTTTAGCAACTAGTCAACAAAACTGAAACACATCTGCATTGCATGCAGTTTCATATGCCATGTTTATCTTTCCATACACAGAAATTGGAATAAAAACTTATACACCCCTACATTCATATTTTCTCTGGTAGGTAAAAAATATCCAAAAAAAAAAAAAAATCAATAAAGCTTTTTGTAGCAAATAGATCAACATTCACAGCAATTTTCCTCTAAGATCATCATCCATTTTCATATATCAAATGTAATCTGGAACTAAATGAATTAACAAGACATATTTACTGAGAAACTTGGTGTCTGACTTACCTATTGGATTTCTATTGAAGAACAATACCGGAGCTCTCAAAATGGACAACAACATTTTGTTGTGCAAAGTTTGTGAAGAATTAACAAGGATGTAGAATACCAACAGAGATCTTGTGATGCCAAAAAGAATGGTACCTCCAGTTAGAACTGAAATAAAGAAACATTACTCAGAACAATATCTCTGCCTTTCTTTCAATTATGCAAAAGTATGGCAGACAGGTTACAAAGATAGTATGCTTCATTCTATAAATATAATTTATATATAAATTCATATATAGACTATAAGATAAATATAATGTATTCTGTGAGAGTTTGATACATTCACTGATAACATTTATAAAGAAAAATATAAACATAACTATGATTCTCTTGTTAACTGATGCAACATGAGAAAAAAAATCAGGTAAAAAATACTATTTGAGATTTTCCTAACCAAAATACAAATATTAATAAAAACTCAGAAGAAAGAAAATGATAAAAAGTAGTATCTTGAAGATGGCGGAAGAATAGGATGGGAAGACCACTTTCTCCTACAAATTCATCGAAAGATCATTTGAACACTGAGCAAACTTCACAAAACCACTTCTGATTGCTAGCAGAGGACATCAGGCAACCAGAAAAGCAATCCATTGTCTTTGAAAGGAGGTAGGACAAAATATAAAAGATAAAAAGAGAGACAAAAGAGCTAGGGACCGAGACCCATTCCGGGAAGGGAGTCTTAATAGAGGAATTTTCCAAACACCGGAAACCCTCACACTGGCGGGTCTGGGGGAAGTTTTTGAATCTCGAAGGGCAACCTAACTGGGAGGAAAAATAAATAAACCCACAGATGACATGCCTAAAAGCAACTCCCAGCAGAAAAGTACCCCAGACGCTCGCATCTGCCACCAGCAAGTGGGGGCGGAACGGAGAGGAGCAGGCGGCATTGCTTAGGGTAAGGACCGGGCCCAAATGCCCTGAGAGCAATCGGAGGGAGCTTTCGTGAGATAGCAACTTAAACTGGGGGATAGCAAGAGAGAGAGAGAGAAAATTAACCAGCCCGAACACACTGCCGGCCATTCACAGAACAAAGGGACTGAACAACTCCAGAGAAGAGCTAGCCAGTGGCGGACCGGCCCATCCCCTGCCAGAGGCAGGAGGTGGGGGGAACAGAAGGGGGTAAACTCAGCCCCAGAGATGGCATCCCCTACCAAACTGCAAACAGGCTTCCAATCTCTAACCAAAGACTTCCTGAGATTCTAGATGGTTGACATGCGCCGGGAGGGTCGCAACTAGAGGCCAGCTCCTGAGAATAGACACAGGCCGCACGCACCCGACTGGCACGCACAGAAACTGAGGCTGGGACCGCGGAGGGGAGAAGGTGCACCGCACCAGGGAGAGTGCGCCCAAGCCCCTGGCTGCCTGAGCTGCTCAGGCCAGGGAAGGCACAAAACGCAGGCGCAACTGAGTCCGCGCTTTTGTGGAATACCTGAAAACTGGAACCGCACGCAACGCAGGGCCCGCTCCATACAGAGCAGCTGGGAGCCTGGGCCGGAAAGCACACACCCGTGAGCGAGCGGGGGCAAACCCAGTGTGGCCAGAACACTGTGAGAGCTCCCCACACACAGTGATACCTGTCTGCAGCGCCCCTCCCTCCCCGCAGCAGGACTGAACTAGCGAACCTGAACAAGAGACCACTTCCACCTGCCTGTGTCAAGGCGGAAATTAGACACTGAAGAGAACGGCAAACAGAAGCCAAATAAACAAAGGGAACTGCTTCAGAAGGGACCGGTGCGACAGATTAAAATCCCTGTAGAACACAGACTACACCGGAAGGGGTTTATAGATATCGAGAAGTGTAAGCTGGAACAAGGAGCTATCTGAAACTGAACTGAACCCACACTGACAATAGCTCTAGAGAAATTCCTAGATATATTTTTACCTTTTTTTTTAATTAAAATTTTTTTTTCTTTTTTCTATTTTTTCTCTTTTATTTTCTTTTAAAATTCCCTATTACTCCCCCATTACTCCTTAATTTTCATTTTCATATATTTTTACTATTTTTTTAATTAGGAAAAAAAATTTTTTTCTTGTTTTTTTTCTCTTATTTTCTTTTAAAGTCCTCTATTACTCCTTAATTTTCAATTTCATTTCACTATAACCTTGCAAAAAAAAAAAAGAGAGAGAGACAAGCCCTATATTTAAACTGAACTTTATATATATTTCTAAAATTTTGTGTTTTTGTTTTTAATATTGTATTTTTAAGAGTCTAACCTCTACTCTAGATTTTTAATCTTTGTTTTTCAGTATGTGATATAAATTTTGGACATTTAAGAATCCAATATTCAGTTCCCATTCTTATTCAGGAGTGTGTTGATTACTCTCTCCAACTTTTGATGCTCTGTTTTCTACATCAGAACTCCTCTATTTCCTCCCTTCCCCTGTTCTTCCCAATCCAATTCTGTGAATCTTTGTGGGTGTCTGGGCTATGGAGAACACTTTGGGAACACAGAAATGCATAGATCTCTCTCTCTCCTCTTGAGTCCCCCTTTTTCTCCTCCTGCTCATCTCTATCTCCCTCCTCCCTCTCCTCTTCTTCATGTAACTCTGTGAACCTCTCTGGGTGTCCCTCACAGGGGAGAATCTTTTCACCATTAACCTAGAAGTTTTATTATCAGTGCTGTATAGTTGGAGAAGTCTTGAG